AATGCTGAGGCAGAGACGGGGTACCGTTCTGGCATCCTTTTGGTTCCCGTGGAGCAGCGTTTTTTAATTGATTTATCTGAAGCACGTGAGCCACCCCCGAAAGAATAAAAAAGAGTGAGGCTTTCCCTGTTCAAATGAAAACCCAGCTGCAAAGACTGCCAAATATCGCCAACCAAGATCCTTTGGAGGGTCACCAGCTGGCAAAGATGTGAGTCTCTCTCGTTGTCTTTTCTAAGTCTGCCATCCCGCCTGAGTTAGGATGAGAAAGGCAGACGAGAAATGGAGTAAGCAAATCGATCCACCGTAAGGTCTTTCGGGGACACCCAAATGAAGAACAAAGTAGGCTCCTGATAGCGGTGCCTGGAAAGGGTTTTTTTACAATCTGGCCACCGTAACCCCCCAAACCATGTGCCTGGTGTCACCTACCCACCCAAAATAAGACCACAGCAGACTTAACATACCATCTGTCCTTTCTGCTCCCCTGGTAAGGGGTGGGTGGGGGGGGGGTATTGATGGGTCGTGCCTGGCAGCCCAAGATGCCTCAAGAAATGTTGGTGCAGGGAAGCCAAGCGGGGGGTCTTTTGTGTTGCTGAAAATGAAACAATTGTTCTTTAGCTGTTGTAGATTGTCCGGCTTGTATGGCTGTGGTCTTGGTATTGTAGGAACCTGACGTTTCACCAGTGGCTGTGACTGGCATCCTCAGAGGTATAACACAGAAAGATGGAGTACTTGGCACAGAGAGTACTCCATCTTTCTGTGTTACACCTCTGAAGATGCCAGTCACAGCTACTGGCGAAACGTCAGGTCCTACAGTGCCAAGACCACGGCCACACAGCCCGGAAAATCTACAACAGCGAATGAACTCCGGCCGTGAAAGCTTTTGAAAACAATTGTTCTGTTGACATTTAAGCGTCCCCCCCCCCCCTTTAAGGAGCAACTGCTTCAACCTGCCTCGTGTTTAAAGCAGTCCCAAATCCACCAGAGTCCTAGTGCCAGCTGTGCTTTTTGGTATCCATTTGAGCTGCCCCTCAGAGCCCTATAAACAGTTCCAGCAGATGCTGATTTTTGTGCCAGTCTTCAAATAATAAATCTAGTCTGGTGATTCAGGGGTCCCCCCCCCCCTTCCAGACCTTTCCTCCTTCCCCTGTTTAGCCTGAAATTCAGGTCCATGGAGGACAGGTTTATAAGTGACTACTAGCCATAGTGACCAAAGAGAACCTCCACATTCAGCAGCAGTAAATCTCTGAATTACCAGAGCCAGGAGGCAACATCAGGGGAAGGCCTGGGCCTCTCTGTCCTGTTGTTGGCCCTTGAGAGGAACTGGTTGAGGCCACTGTGTGAGACAGGATGCCGGACTAGATGGACCACTGGTCTGATCCAGCAGGGCTCTTCTGATGTGCTTATCAGGGGAAGGCCTCGGCCTCTCTGCCCCGTTGTTGGCCCTCCAGAGGAACTGGCTGGCCACTGTGTGAGACAGGATGCTGGACTTTATAGACCACTGGTCTGATCCAGCAGGGCTCTTCTTATGACTTGCCTGCTTTCAATTTAAGCCAATTTAACAAGGAGAAAAATCCACCCAAATCGTTACCTTCCCCAGGGTCTGTCCATTAGTGTGTTTTGCACACATCAAATGAAAGGGTGAAATGGGGCGAGGAGAGCCACCCACGTCAGTGTGAGTTAGGGCCGCCTGGAATCCACGTGGAGCTTGTTTCCAACTGTAGGCATGTGTTTTTAATTTAGGTGCGTTGTAAATATTGGATGTGACAGGAGGAGGAAAGAAATAAAGTTCGCTGAAGGGGGAAAAGAGATGATGGAGGAGAGTCTCTTGGCCTTGCTCTCCTAAGAGAATCTCAAATTAAGGGGGAGTATAGCAGTGGGTGGGCTTTGGGATTTGTATTTCAGGAGTTTGGTGTAGTGGTTAAGAGCGCGGATGCTAATCTGGGAGAACCGGGTTCGATTCCCCACTCCTCCGTATGCAAGTGCAGGTGTGACCTTGGGTCAGTCACAAGTTCTTTCAGAGCTGTTCTCCCAAGAGCAGTTCTCTAAAGAGCTCTCTCAGCCCCACCTACCTCACAAGGTGTCTGTTGTGGGGAGGGGAGGGGAAAGGAGATGGTAAGCCGCTCTGTGACTCCTTTGGGTAGTGAAGGGCGGGGTATAAATCCAATCTCTTCTTCTTTTCTCTGTATGAGAGGCCATGGCTCAGTGGTAGAACATCTGTTCAGCACACAGAAGGTCCCAGGTTCAGTCCCCAGCATCTCCAATTAAAAAGGAGTAGGTGGTAGGCAATGCTCCCTCTAAGCTGTGGAGTCTTGTGAGCAAAAATTCTACTTTATGAGATACTGGCATTAAAGCTGTGAACAAGCGATCTGGCTACTGCATAGATTAGTTGGCTCTGGAGCCCTCCTCCCTGAGCCGAGAGAAAAATGCGTGAGCCAGAGGTTAAAAAACTGTGAGCTAGCTCACATTAACTCAGCTTAGAGGGAACACTGGTGGTAGGTGATGTGAAAGAACCGGGTTTGATTCCTGACTCCTCCACTCACACCTGCTAGATCACCTTGGGCAAGCCATAGTTCTGACAAGAGCTGTTCTTGAAAAAGAGCAATTTCTGTCAGAGCGCTCTCAGCCCCACCTACCTCACAGGGTATCTGTGGCGGGGAGGGGAAGGAAAAGGAGTTTGTAAGCCACTCTGAGACTCTTTTGGGTAGTGAAGGGCGGGGTATAAATCCAATCTACTCCTCCCTATCTTCCTCCCCCCCCTCCTCCCCAGATCCGGGAGAACTGCTGCCAGTCTGAGTAGACAGTACTGACTGTGATGAGTAGACAGTACTGACTGTGATGGATCAGGGGTCTGAATCAGCATAAGACAACTTACATGAGTTCATGTGAGCATCCATGTAATTGCTGCCTGACAGGTATAAGCAAGGGCAAAGCTTTGTGTTTCAAAGGCACGTGAGAAAAATGAGGTTAAAGTGATAGAGAGGCGGAGGAAGGGGTGTGTGGAAAAGAGTTCTCGGTCAAGTGGAGGCTCTCTCTCAGATGGACCTTCATTGGTCTGATCCAGCGGGGCTCTTTAGATATTCTTATGGGGGGAAGGCCTCAGCCTCCATGGAAAAATCCATGCCCTGTTGTTGGTTGTCCAGAGGAACTGGACTAGATGGACCACTGGTCTGATCCAGCAAGACTCTTCTTAAAGCCTAGTGATGTCCAGAGGTATTTGAAAACCTGTACACCTGACAGGGGTCTAGTTCTCATTGAGGGAGTAACCCAGTGCCATTTCAGATTGCATGCGAGGGCGCGGACAATTGCACGTTCTTCAATGCATTCAGTTTCCCCCTGTAGCTAGCATGTTGGGGACGAGTCCTCCTCCCTTGCATGCTGATTTTCTATCTGTGTGCATCTTTGTGTGGAAGCACACTAAATTGTGTGAGGGCCCCACTTTCTCCTTGATGTGGTACAGCACACACACACATCAAATTCCCTCAGTGCAAGCCAGATCATAGCCTGGCGTGTCCCAAGAGATTGGCATAAGGCAAATCCTGAGTCTGTCTCTTTCTCCTGTGTAATGTGTGGAATGGCCCTGAATGTGTGAACTGACAGATGCCCGGCTGACTTATGCATGCTTGGTCATCTTTCACTTGATGCGGCAGCTGTCCGGTGACAGACTGTAGGTATAAATCGGCTATTGGATATCTGAAGATGTTGACCAGTTCCTTTTGCTTTACATCTCCTGGCTTGGTTCAGCCTTGTTGGTTACACTGAGGGTGGGAGAATAGCAGGGAATGTTTTGACACCTTGGAGAGCCGGTTTGGTGTACTGGTTAGGAGTGTTGACTCTAATCTGGGAGAACCGGGTTTGATTCCCGACACCTCCACATGCAGGTGCTGGCATGGCCTTGGGTCAGTCCACAGACATGTATGACTCTGTGAGCATTTGTTGTACAAGGCTCCCTTGGTCTGCATTGTAATGTAAACGCAGCCAATACTTTACTGTCATTAGCCACGTACCGGATTCCACAGAATTTAACGCAGTTTCTAAACACAAGGCTGCATAAGGCACACAGCGCGGCATTCCCATGATCTTTCGAAGAAATTTAGATTGAACACGTTCTATTGTGCCACCCTTGGCTCAGTCACAAGTTCTCTCAGAGCTGTTCTGTCAGCAGCAGTCCTCGAAAGAGCTCTCTCAGCCCCACCTGCCTCACAGGCAATGTTCCCTCTAAGCTGTGGAGTCTTGTGAGCAAAAATTCTACTTTGTGAGCTACTGGCACTAAAGTTGTGAGCAAGTGATTTGGCTACTGCATATATTAGTTTGCTCTGGAGCCATCCCTTCCTGAGCTAGGACAAAAATGTGTGAGCCGGAGGCTAAAAAAACTGTGAGCTAGCTCACACTAACTCAGCTTAGAGGGAACACTGCTCACAGGGTGTCTCTTGTGGGGAGGGGGAGGGAAAGGACATTGTAAACCAGTCTGAGACTCCTTCAGGTAGTGAAGGGCAGGGTTATAAATCCAATCTCTTCTTTTTTTTTCTTGTGAGAAAGTCATCAAGCCCGTGAAAGAGACAATGAACACATTTGGCGCACCCGCGGGGAGGCATAGGCACACAGGCACCTGCGGCTAGGTCCATCTGGACCTTTCTGAATTCTCCCATTTTTGTCATTCTGCTCAACAGGCATTGGCTTGTGCTGAGGACGTGCGTGGTGGAAGAGTGCGGTTGTGGGATCTTCTGTCTCAGAGGCTGTTTTCTCTCTGGAACGCTTGAAGTCCATGCTTCTCGAAGGGCACCGCGGGGATGAGAAATAGAGGCCGGGCCTCAAGATACCATTGCCAGAGCCTCGAAAACTCTCCAAGGTCTTCCCAACTGCAAGCATCCTGGAACACACAGACAACCCGACTCCATTCCATCTCAGTACTGCTGCACGAGTAGGACTTGACGGCTCTGTGGTTCAGCAAGAGGACGCATCCGGGCCTGGCGGTGCTCTGAGGCGTCTAGCGGTGGCAGCTGTGCTATGAATTGGTGTTTATGGACTCTCTACCTCGGCCTGGTCTGCAGCAGTTTCGCCGAGGGTAAGACTGTGTGTCTGGGCTGTCGTTCAGTGTGTCCCGTGGGTGTGTATTTACTCATATAAGAATGTCCAAGTAGCTATATCTGATTCATCTCCCACGATAACGGTTGGCTTCAGTTTCGTGCAGACTGGTGATTCTCTGGTTTCTGTCTCTGGTTTCTTTCACAACTTCCACAACTCTCGTTCTTCAGCCTGAGTGTTCAGTGGCAACCACTGGCTACACTCGGTGAGGGTCCGTCAGAATTTTGCACATTTTGCTGTTGTCAGACAGTGAGTAATAGCTCCCAGGGGGCATATGCTGCAGTACAGCTATGCAGAGCACTGAAGTCCTACCCCAAGGATCCCTAAAGTGGTGGATGTGGGCACCTGCCAATACCTTTCCTAGCACCCATCAAGTGTTCATAGAAAGTGGGCAGGGCCAGGTAGAATCTTTTTTTGCCCAGCAAGGCCTCTGATTGGCTACTGGAGATATGACTGGCTGTGCACACTTTAAAAATTGCTTCAGCCACAGCTGCCACCACAGCACAAGGATCTTCACTATGTGACTGAAGGCAAGCTGTATATTTGCATGAAATTATTTTTAAACAAATATGTTCATTTTAAAGGCATCCTGTTAACCAGAGCATCTGCTTGAAAGAGTGAAAAGTTGCATTAGATTTTTACAGAACCTCACTCCCCAACATTTTGAGATTGGCTCCGCCTCCAGGGGCAGCCATTTTGAGGTTGGGCCCACCACCCTGTGTCAGGATTCCAAAGGGTTACCACCAGTGTTCCCTCTAAGCTGAGTTAGTGTGAGCTAGCTCACAGTTTTTCAGCCTCCGGTTCCCACATTTTTGTCTTAGCTCAGGAAGGATGACTCCAGAGCATACTAATTTATGCAGCAGCCAAATCGCTGGCTCACAGCTTTAATGCCAGTGGCTCACAAAGTAGAATTTTTGTTCACAAGACTCCACAGTTGAGAGGGAGCATTACATGCTCAAAAAGTTGTGGACCTCTGTCCTACCCTTTCGCCACTGGAGATCGCACACTTCCAAACATGTCTTTTGCAACCCTGAAGGCTACAAGCTTTGTTTTTTAAGATGGGTGGCTGCAGGGGTCATTTCCTGCAGGAGTGCACAGGAGTGGAGCTCCAGCAGTAAAGAGCCCAGGGGGTGGGCACATGCAACAAGCCCCACCCCCTGCTCCCAGCAGCCCTCAGTCAAAGCAAGAAGCAGCCACGTAAGTTGCAGAGCTCCCCCCGGCCCCCCGGTCCAAGACAGTCCAGTGGCACCTTTAAGACCAAGTTTTATTCAGGTACAAGCTCTCCCTCCTCTGTATCCCTGGGTAGCTGCGTTAGTCTGTCTGTAGCAGTAGCAAAGAGCAAGAGTCCAGTAGCACCTGAAAGACTAACAAAATATGTGGTGGGGAGGAGCTTTCGTGAGATATCTGAAGAAGTGAGCAATGACTCACGAAAGCTCACACCCTGCCACATATTTTGTTAGTCTTTAAGGTGCTGCTGGACTTCTGTTTTTTTTTTTTAATTTAATAAGAGCTGAATTTTGAATTTACCGGCACAATTGGAGAATCTTGGCCTATGCACAGGTGTGAAAACAAGAGGTTATTTTGCTCATGCTAGAAATCCCAAAGTCAGATCTGCAGCTGAGAAATATTACCCCGTGCGTGCCTCTCTTTCCTTGACCAGTTGCTGCCGACCCCACGGCGGTGGGGGAGCTGTCACTGCAACTTTCTTGCGCGCTCAGCCTACATAACTAGCCGAGTGTGTGACTTCCCCGTCTTCCCAGGGATTTCTGCAACTTTTAACTTTCCACCTATTTGATTTCCTCCTCTCGTCCTGCCGCCCGGTGCCTTCTGTGCGGCTGTAATGTGCGAGTTCATCTCCCCGATGCAAACTCTTCTTGGCAGGGCTCCTTGCGCCTTTAATAGCATCTGAACTGAGCTCCTGTCACCGAGCCCTGTGAACAAGCCTGAGGGATCCTCGAATTGGCGCGCCTTCTCTTCCCCTCGTGTGCAGCCGGCTAATTAGAGACTTCCACTTTCCCGAGGAACCAGAGTGGCTTGTGCTTTCCTTGCCGATGAGGATTGAATGGGTGTTCGGAATCCTAGTTTGCGGGAAGAACTAGAAAGCGTCGGCAGAAGCTGTGGCGCCCTGCACCGTGTCTCAGATCTTGGGGAAATCTAATTATCCAGCTGCATGTGAGGGGAGGTGGGGAACGTATGCGCCTCGGGCTTCCTCATGCTCATCCACGTCCTGAGTTCCAGCAGGTGACACTTTCCCTTTCCGCTTGCTGCAGAATGCTTCCCTTAATGAAGTTTTAGTGATGGGCGAACGCCCCTGTTCTCATCCTGAGAACATTTGCCTTTTCTAAATGAGCATTCCCATTCGACACTCAAAAATGCTTGAGGGGCGTTTGCAAGTGTTGTGCCCCGTCACAACATGTGTGTGAGCATGCACTCTTAAGGTCTTTATTTATTGTAGTTTTAGTTGTTGCTCACCCAAAGGGTCTCGCGGCGATTTGCAACATTAAAACCATATAAATAAGATCAAAACAGCATAAAAACAGGTAAGAAAGATAAAATAATATTAAAAAGTTAAGCTCTTGAAATATGTGTATGCACGATACCACTTAAAAAAGAAACAACAACGTAGGCATGTGGATTACCCGCCAAAGGCCAGCCTGAGAGCCAGTTGTATGCGCCTCGGGCTTCCTCATGCTCATCCACGTCCTGAGTTCCAGCAGGTGACACTTTCCCTTTCTGCTTGCTGCAGAATGCTTCCCTTAATGAAGTTTTAGTGATGGGCGAACGCCCCTGTTCTCATCGTGAGAATGTTTGCCTTTTTTAAATGGGCATTCCCATCCGACACTCAGAAATGCTTGAGGGGCGTTTGCAAGCGCTGTGCCCCGTCACAACATGTGTGTGAGCAATGCACACTTAAGGTCTTTATTTATTGTAGTTTTAGTTGTTGCTCACCCAAAGGGTCAAAACAGCATAAAAACAGGTGAGAAATATAAAATATTAACATTAAAAAGTTAAGCTCTTAAAATATGTGAATGCACGATACCACTTAAAAAAGAAACAATAACGCAGGCATGTGGATTACCCGCCAAAGGCCAACCTGAGAGACAGTTTGGTGTCGTGGTAGAGCAGTTTCTGTCAGAGCTCTCTCAGCCCCACCTACCTCACAGGGTGTCTGTTGTGGGGAGGGGAAGGGAAAGGAGTTTGTCAGCCGCTCTGAGACGTCTTTGGGTAGTGAAGGGCGGGGTATAAATCCAATCTCTTCTTGTTCTTCTTTTACCTCACAGGGTGTCTGTGGTGGGGAGGGGAAGGGAGAGGAGTTTGTGAGCCGCTCTGAGACACCTTTGGGTAGTGAAGGGCGGGATATAAATCCAATCTCTTCTTCTTCTTTTACCTCACAAGATGCCTGTTGTGGGGAGGGGAAGGGAAAGGAGTTTGTGAGCCGCTCTGAGACACCTTTGGCTAGTGAAGGGCGGGGTATAAATCCAATCTCTTCTTCTTTTACCTCACAGGGTGCCTGTTGTGGGGAGGGAAAGGGAAAGGAGTTTGTGAGCCGCTCTGAGACTCCTTTGGGTAGTGAAGGGCGGGGTATAAATCCAATCTCTTCTTCTTCTCTTCAACCTAAACAATTCAGCCTTTTAAGCCCTGCAGAAACTCAGTAAGTCCAGCAGGGCACAGGAGTCATCCGAGAGTGCATTCCACAGGGGTGGGGCCACAGCTGAGAAGGCCCTTCCCCTGATGACAGCCTTCCCTGCAAGTTGTGGGGTGGAGGGGAACTGAAGAAGAAGAGACTGGATTTATATCTCGCCCTTCACTACCTGGAGGAGTCTCAGAGCGGCTTACGATCTCCTTTCCCTTCCCCTCCCCACTCTGTGAGGTAGGTGGGGCTGAGAGAGCTCTTTCGAGGACTGCCCTTGAGAGAACAGCTCTGAGAGAATTTATGACTGACCCAAGGTCACACCAGCAGGCTGCATGTGGAGGAGTGGGGAATCGAACCCGGTTCTCCCAGATTAGAGCCCACACTCTTAACCACTGCACCAAACTGGCTCTTGAAAACTCTCTGAGGCTTATGATACTTTCTGTCGATTGACTCCCAGCAGGTAACGGTGAGGCAGTGCCCCGCGCTGTGGTAGGCCGGACAGGCGAGAGCATCATTCTGCGCTGTGACCTCCTCAAGCCGGACGAGGCCAGTCCCCCCCTCTACGTCATCGAGTGGGTGCGCTTCGGCTTCCCCCTCCCCATTTTCATCAAGTTTGGCCTCTACTCTCCTCGCGTGGATCCGGAGTACATTGGTGAGTCGGCGCTGCGGTCCGTACTCGGTTGAGGAGGCGAGCTAATTGGTTTGGCAGCGGATGGGGAGGTGGGTGGCGCATTTCTGATATTCCTAGAAATATGGACATGGAGGATAATAACCAGAGACTCGGGCAAGTATGTGGGAGCTCTGTAAACCACTGGACTCCGTTACTGTGGCCCCGTGACTTTAATATTGGTGAGACGTTGGTAGCAGTGATGAGAATAAGATTCTGTCATTGAGCTCATCAGTTTCCTTGTCAGTGCCAGCTGTTCAGTTCATCCTGTCCCCTTCTGTGTCCAGATCCCAAACAAGGAATGTCAGTGTTATTTGGGGGAGGGGCTGTGGCTCAGTGGAAGAGCCTCTCCTTGGCACGCAGAAGGTTCCAGGTTAAGAACATAAGAGATGCCAATGTTGGATCAGGCCAAAGGCCCATCCAGTCCAACACTCTGTGTTGCACAGTGGCCAGAAATACCAGGTGCCCTCAGGAGGTCCAGCAGTGGGGCCAGGACATTAGAAGCCCTCCCACTGTTGACCCCCCCCCCACAAGCACCGAGTTCAGTCTCTGGCATCTCCAGTTCAAAAGGTCTGGTAGTAGGTGACGTGAAAGACCTTTCTCTTCCCCCCCCCCATCCCCCACCGGTTACCAGGAGGGAACTGGCAACCCTAGCAAACAGACATGGCTGGTTTATTAATTTACGATATTTGTCTCTCACTTCGGGGGTAGCAGTCTGCAAGGATGCTGAGCAAAAGATCAGACTTTCCTCCTAGATGTAAGGTTTTCCTACTAAATGCATAGATATAATGACATAGCATTTAAACCATGGCAGGAATTTTCAAAAACCACCAGATCCCCAAAACCAGTCAGAGAGGATGAACAAAATCAACTCAGAATCTCATTAGAGGTAACCGGACATGCCCAGTCGTGAAATTCCTTGTGTGAGCATCAGACCCGGTCTGACCATTCATTCCTCCTCGATTTAACCTACCTCACAGAGTTGTTGTGAGGATACACAGAACCAGTCAGTCAAATAAAGTGAATTAAATCAACTGGAAATCTCATTAGAGGTAACAGGACATGCCCAATCATGAAGTTCTTGGGTGAGTGTGAGGCCCGGTCTGACCATGCACTCCCTCTCGATTTAACCTACCTCATAGGGTTGTTGTGAGGATAAAATGGAGGAACGGAGAACCGCATACCCTGTCCTGAGGTCTTTGGGGAAATGGTGGGATAGAAAGGTGACAGACTGACAGTGAATTATCCAGGTTGCAAAGCTCTTTCGAAAAATGCTGCGATAGTAATTGTCTGAAGGCCTCCAAGGATGTAGTAAGGTGGGCCTCCACAGATGGAGAGTTCTGCATGCTTGCTGGCCAGCACCATTTGAGAAAGCCTTGCCTCTTGAAGAACAGAAGAAGAGGAGATTGGATTTATACCCCGTCCTTCGGTAATCAAAGGAGTCTCAGAGCGGCTTACAAACTCCGGCTTACTATCTCACACTAACTCAGCTTAGAGGGAACCACTGGTCCTATGCTGGTTCACAGGGAGAAATGGCCCCTACCATATCTCTCCTTCCTAGTTGGTAAATAAGCCCAGGGTCTATTCACTGTCCTGAAATTCCAGGTAACCTCTGCTAATACTGTCCTCTGAACTGTGAATTCTTTTGATTAATATCCTTTGCTGATGCTGGGAGCAGTGTTCCTTCTAAGCTGAGTTAGTGTGATCTAGCTCACAGTTTTTTAGCCTCTGGCTCACACATTTTTGTCTCCGCTCAGGAAGGATGGTTCCAGAGGAAACCAATTTATGGAGCAGCCAAACCGCTCGCTCACAACTTTAATGCCAGCAGCTCACCAAGTAGAATTTTTGCTCACAAGACTCCACAGCTTAGAGGGAGCATTGGCTGGGAGCTGTTTGGAATGCTGTTTGTGGGGCAAAGCAGGGGAAATGACTTTTTTAATGGAATAAGTCATGCAGCCCCCCCCCCACTCCAGAAGGAACTTTCCATGGGGTGTGTGATGCACACGGACCCCTGCGGGATTCTGGGACGGCTCCCTGGGCTTGCCAAGTTAGGTGACACGTGAGGCCTCCGCCGGCGTGAGTCGCCCACCCTGCACTGTCAGATCTGATCAGAGAGCGAACCAGGCAGCCCCCCACCGCTCCAGGCCATGCAGGGACAGGCAGACTTGAGTGTGGCGATGGAGCAGGCAGGCCAGTTCCTGGAGGAAGCGGGGCTTTGCACACCTCAGTGGGCACCCATTTGAGCAAGGCAGCAAAAGCCCCCGAGGGAAGCCTGCTTCTCACCCCACCCTAATTGATGGGCTGGTGGGTTACTGTCTGAGGGAGGGAGATGAGGCTTCGACTACCTGCCCCTGAGGCTTAGAAACAAGCCACGCTTGCTGCTGTGTGCGCCTGGCTGAACTTAATAAGAATACAATCAGAAGAGTCCTGCTGGATCAGGCCAGTGGTCCATCTAGTCCAGCATCCTGTCTCAGACTGTGGCCAATCTATTCCACTGAAGGGACAACAACAGGGTGTAGAGGCCGAGGCCTTCCCCTAAGGCGGCCTCCTAGCGCTGGTGTTCAGGGGTTTACTGCCTCTAAATTTGGAGGTTCTCTTTAGTCAGTGCGACTAGTAGCCACTAGGGTTGCCAGGTCTCCCCTGGTAACTGGCAGGGTGTAGGGAGCAGGGTGGCCAGCTCCAGGTTGGGAAACAGCTGGAGATTTGGGGGTGGAGCCTGTGGGAGGACAAGGACCTCAGTGGGGTACAGTGCCACATAGAGTCCACCCTACAAAGCAGCCATTTTCTCCATTCCTGAGTACTGGAACCCCCATCTTTAAAAAAGGTTCCAGAGGAGATCCAGGAAATTACAGGCTGCTCAATCTCACTTTGATACCAGGTAAGTTGGTGGGATCTGTTATTAAAGACCGAATTAGTAAGCACATAGATGAACAAAAGCTATTGAGGAAGAATCAGCATGGATTCTGTAAGGGAAGGTCTTGTCTGACTAACCTCTTAGAGTTCTTTGAGGGGGTGAACAAGCATGCGGACAAGGGTGACCCAGTAGATGTTGTTCACCTTGACTTCCGGAAAGCTTTTGATAAAGCTCCTCATCAAAGGCTCCCAAAGTAAACTCAGCAGTCATGGGCAATGTTCCCTCTAAGCTGCGGGGTCTTGTGAGCAAAAATTCTACTTTGTGAGCTACCGGCATTGACGTTGTGAGCGAGCGATTTGGCTGCTACATAAAGTAGTTTGCTCCGGAGCCATCCCTTCCTGAGCGAAGACAAACATCTGTGAGCTGGAGGCTAAAAAACTGTGAGCTAGCTCACACTAACTCAGCTTAGAGGGAACACTGGTCATGGGATAAGAGGACAAGTCCTCTTGTGGATGAAAAACTGGTTAATTAATAGGAAACGGAGGGTGAGTATAAACGGGCAGTTTTCAAAGCGGAAGCTGGTAAACAGTGGGGTGCCTCAGGGCTCGGTGCTAGGTCCGGTGCTTTTTAATTTGTTCATTAATGATTTGGAGTTGGGAGAAAGCAGTGAAGTGGCTAAGTTTGCAGATGACACTAAGTTGTTCAAGGTGGTGAGAACCAGGGAGGACTGTGAGGCGCTCCAGAGAGATCTGTCAAGGCTGGGCGAGTGGGTGTCAACGTGGCAAATGAGGTTCAACGTGGGCAAATGCAAAGTAATGCACATTGCAGCAAAAAAAATCCCGACTATAAATACACTTTGATGGGGTCTGAATTGGCGGTAACTGACCAGAAGAGAGATCATGGAATCATGGTGGATAACTCTCTGAAATTGTCGACTCAGTGTGCAGCTACTATAAAAAAGGCAAATGCTATGCTGGAGATTATTAGGAATGGAACTGAAAACAAATCAGCTAGTATCATAATTCCCCTGTATAAATCTGTGGTGCGGCCTCATTTAGACTACTGTGTACTGTTCTGGTCACCTCAACAAAGATATTATAGCATTGGAAAAGGGGGGGGGGGAAAGGACAACTAAAATGATAAAGGAGATAGAACACTTTCCGTATGAAGGAAGGTTAAAGAAGTGAGGGCTCTTTAGCTTGGAGAAGCAACAACTGAGGGGTGACTTGACAGAAGTTTATAAAATTATGCATGGGATAGAAAAGGCAGAGGAAAAAGTACTTTTCTCCCTTTCTCGCAATACTTGTGGGCACTCAATGAAATTGCTGAGCAGTCGGGTTAGAACGGATAAAAGGAAGTCCTTCTTCACCCAAAGAGTAACACGTGGAATTCATTGCCACAGGAAGTGGTCGCATCTACAAGCACAGACAGCTTCAAAACGGGAATGGATTGGCCATATGGAGCAGAGGTCCATCGGTGGCTATTAGCCACAAGGTATAGATGGAACACTCTGTCTGGGGCAGTGATGCTCTGTATTCTTGGTGCTTGGGGGTAGCAACCGTGGGAGGGCTTCTGGAGTTCTGGTTACCTGGGTTTTGGCCACCGTGTGACACAGAGTGTTGGACTGCATGGGCCATTGGCCTGATCCAACATGGCTTCTCTTATGTTCTCTTGTGTTCTTAGGTTCTTATCTCTGTAGTTTGGAGACGAGCTCTAATTTCAGTAGATCCTCGGGTCCCTAGAGGTTGGCATCCCTAGTAGCCACCGATAGACTGGTTCTCCATTAATCTAATCCCATTTTTAAGCAGCGAATGCCGTAGTTTAATCACTCATTTGAGTAAAGAAATATTTCCTTTTGTCCGTCCTGAATTTAGAGCTTCGCAAAGAGAAACGTCTCGTACTCCCTAACTGTTTGGGTCCGCTTGTCCTTTTCCTATACCCGAATCAATCCCTCTTTAATGTAATAAATCCTGTCATCTCTTTTGCTCTGTGACTGGGTGTCACCTATTTTATTTTGTTTGCTTATTTAATTACTTCATTTATCCCCAACGGGGACCCAAAGTGGATTCTATCCTTGTTCTCTCCTGCCTTTGGTCCTCACAACAACCCTGTGAGGTAGATGAGTCCAAGA